GAATCTGATATTGCCGTCTTCGTTCATAAAAGATGTTAGCCAAGGCTTACTTTTGTAGAAGAAATCATGGAATTTCCTGAATGAGGTCTTCATGCCGTTTTTCTGAGCCGCAATCTTAAGTAATTCAATCGGCCTCTTCCAAAAAAATGCCATATTTTTTTATCAATGATCATTTAATTTCTTTTTATAATTTCCGCCTGAAGCTTTGTCTGTTTTCAGTCTTCGGAAACGTGCTCTTTTTTCGCAACCATTTAGTGTCCAACCTATCCCCGGCTTCCATCATCTTTTCTTCCATTCCAATTGCACTACTGCCGTTGCTACTACGACTTTTTTCTGCATCATCCAAGCCGTTTCTACCGTTATTTCGCCTGTGCATTCAGTAAATGATCTGAGCCTTCGATCGATCGTGAACTGACGTGTTTCAGATACTTCTGATCATTTCAATTTCGACCTTGACGATTTCTAACTTTGCGGTAAATTTTTGGTTGCTAATCAAAATCCGGAGCTTGAACTGTAGCCACAATCAACACGTGGTCGCGCTTCTAAATATTCTGACACGTTCCAGGCAGGCTTAATAATTTCTAGTGATGACGACATCGTCAATCTGGTTTTCTGTCAATGCATCATGGAGCATCATGTGATCTTATGTACTGTTTGTGAGGTAGCAATGTTCCTCCAACTAGTAGATCGTACATCGCATACAATTTTGCTAGTCGTTCACCATTATCATTCATCTCACCAATACCTGGTGTTCCCTAGCATCTATGTAACTCTTCGCTTTCGCACTGAAACCACCCACAACAGTCAAGAAATCATGGTACTTTTACGACATTGCCCAGGCGGACTCGGCGTGGCATAAAATTTTTCATGTACTGCCTCTGCCGCAGCCTCGACAGAGGAAATGACAACCAACCACCGTTGTGCTAAAAATTCAACACTTGAAGATGCACCTCGCCGTAACGATTCTTATGGACACCACACTCCAGTGTAAAAGAGCTCTTTCTGCTTCTCTACGGACCGCAGTGCAACACCCCACCTCCCCAC